TCAAATGCTTTTTCTGCATCTATTGAGAGGATCATATGGTTTTTGTCCTTGACTTTGTTAATATAATGTATTACATTCACTGACTTTCGTATGTTGAACCACCCTTGCATCTCTGGAATAAATCCGACTTGGTCATGATGGATGATCTTCTTAATAATCCTCTGTATTCTGTTTGCTAGTATCTTATTAAGGATTTTTGCATCTATATTCATTAAGGAGATTGGTCTGTAGTTCTCCTTTTTGGTTGTATCTTTCTCTGGTTTGGGAATCAGAGTGATACTTGCTTCCAGGAATGAATTTGGAAGTATAGCTTCTCTTTCAATTTCATTGAAAAGTTTGAAGAGTAATGGTAGTAGTTCTTCTCTAAATGTCTTGTAAAATTCAGCAGTGAATCCATCAGGGCCTGGGCTTTTCTTTGTTGGTAAGTTTTTAATTACATTTTCAATTTCACTGATTGTGATTGGGGTGTTTAAAATGTTTTTATCTTCTTCGTTCAACTTTGGTAATTCATAAGTATCTAGAAATCTGTCCATTTCTTCTGTGTTTTCCATTTTATTAGAGTACAGGTTCTCAAAGTAGGTGTTCATGATCCTCTGGATTTCTTTCGGATCTGTTGTGACTTCGCCTTTTTCATTCCTAATTGCATGGATCTGAGCCTTTTCTTTCCTTTTTTTGATAAGATTAGCTAAGGGTTTGTCAATTTTATTTATTCTTTCAAAAAACCAGCTCTTTGTTTCATTTATTTTTTGTATCGTTTTCTTAATTTCAATTGCATTGATTTCTGCTCGGATCTTTATAATTTCCTCTCTTGTTCGAGCTTTGGGTTTTTCTTGCTCTTGTTTTTCTAGGAGTCTAAGTTTCATCGTTAAGTTGTTTATTTGAGCCCGCTCTGTTTTCCTAGTGTGGGCATTCAATGTTATGAATTTTCCACGTAGAACTGCTTTCATTGTGTCCCAAAGATTCCTGTATGTTGTATTGGCATTCTCATTTATTTGTAAAAACTGTCTAATTTCTTCTTTGATTTCTTCTGTAATCCATTGATTGTTTAGGAGAGTGTTGTTCGGTTTCCATGTGCTTG